TATATCAATGTCTGAAATGCAATTAAAAAAACGAATATGAGGCCAATAAAATGCAAACTCTGTTTATGATGTGAAGCCTGGTGTGTGATGCTGACCTGCTCAGATCAGAGTGGACACGGGGAAACTGACCTCATTCTTCAGAGAGCTGACCTCAGTCAGTAAGCTCTCGATCTTCCTCTCATACTGGCTGATCCGCCCGTGCAGCCCCTCCTCTTCCTCTGATGTGAGGTCAGCAAGTCGCAGCGCAGACTGGGGGTGTTCAGGCTCTTCATGGAGTGGGGGGGTGATCTCAAGGCGGTGCGTTGGACCCTTAGTGCATATTACACTGTCAGTAACACAACATCTTTAACTGCAGGAGCAATATTTAAAATCTAACAGAGGATGGTATTTAGGAGTCTTTTGAGTTTAGGATGTGTTATACCTCCCACTTGTATGAAGCGTCCCGTATGGAAGCCTTTCCCGGTGGTATCCATGGAACTCGAGTTTTGACCTTGGCTGTAGGACGGAGGTTTCCCCTGTCCACGTTGGTCTTCTCCTTTAACACAGAGCGCAGAGAGAGCAGCAGCATGTCACATCAGCCCTTTACGCTGCATACACACTAAATTGCATGAGAACAAATCAAATATATATGATCATTCAACTGATCACCATTTTCCTTGTTTTTGAGATATCTTGTTTGAACAGTTACTTATATCATTTTATTTGAATTGCATTATCTTTGTGTGAACTCTTATCTGTACCGTCCTGTATTTCACTCTGACTCTGTTGCTGCTATAACACCTGCATTGCCCATACAGGGATCAATAAAGGTCCACCTTGTCTGATGTTATCTTACTACAGAATGTTGAGTTTCACACAATATCTTAACTTTTGATCAGATAATAAGAATAAAGAAAAAGATCCAGGGTACATGTCCTCAAAAGATGCACATTTACAATATGAAATTAAAGTAAATACAATAAAGACATGCCAGCATCAGTGGGTGTGTGACCTGAGGCTGGCTGGCAGGACTCCTCTGGCTCTTCACGTGCACGTGGACCGGGGTGGAGTCGCTGATGTGAAGATGGATTGGAGGAGAACTTGACCGAGTTCTCATTGCTTTCCTCTGTGAAACCATTCCAAACTATTACATTAGAGAAGAGTGATAACATGAGTTTTTAGGGGTTCCAGGTATTATTATTAAAAATGCACAATTACAAAATATGATAGACATTCTCTGTTGAAATACATATTTCTAATGTTGCTTGTGTAAATGCTAGCATGTCAAACAGGGATGGAGAGATTGTATCTTAATCTTAGAGGCAAAATCAACAGAATGACAAAAAGTGGAGATTATGAAGTGTATTTTGCATTCTCTAAGGCGACTTTTGACATACGTGATGGAACAGAGTAGAATATTGTTCAATACATTAATGAAAACACATTTCAAAAAGTTGCAGATTCCACTAACAATGACAGTTACATTAGGTTTCTAAAATCCACATAGGCAGTCAAAGCTATCAAAATCAAAATGATAACAAATGCACTGACAATATTCTAAGTTACATTAGACATTCAGCAATTTATGTGGATAATTATGTATGGTGTAAGTTACAGTCTTAAAGATACAAGGTAAAGTAGTTTAGCCAGAAGTAGCTTACTGTACACAATACATTAGCCTGGCATCGGCTTTAGCTTATTAGCTACACACAGCCCTCTAGCGTCTGTGCAATTGACAAACAAATTCTCCGTCTTACCATATGAGAAACCAAATGATATTCTTCAGGACTTGAACATAAATGTCATAGGCAGAGCACCGTTTTTAGTTTAGGAGGCAAAATGAACAAGTTGACATAAACATAACATGACAAAGTCTGTTGTAGTGAAGTCTTCAATAGACTTCAACAGGTAGTGACGTTAGAGTCTCTCTGGTTGGTCAGTTTAAAGCAGGTGACATCTTTCTCCAACAGTGATTGGACCAGAAAGGACATTGTGACGTTCCTTAGCAACACACAGCTCAACAAGCGTTGGTAGTATCAAAGATATGCAATGTGTCAAGATGAATCCCACCCCATGTATGCACATCGCATCAAAAGCTACACAGAAACGCGCAAAAAATAAAATAATAGCCCTCTTACCAGGTGAAAGGAACTGATAACATAATGTTTTCTAAATAACTGTAACTTTGTTTGCGGGAACTAACTTCCAAAATGCACAATCAACAGAAAACCTACTCATTATGTAAATGTAGTAATTGTGTAGTAATGTGTGTGTGAACGGTATTTCTGAATAAGGTCCCTAACGGCCCCTCATACATATCCATCAGTCCCACATCCTCTCTATCCCTTCCCTGGAGGCACTTGTGCAGCAGCATGCCCCGTGGTTACACATTAGAGGTTTCTCAATACTCAAATTTCCCCTCCTCGACTCCTCAGAGGCTTCTCAATACTCAAATGTCCCCTCCTCGACTCCTCGGTCCTCCGGTAGTGACCCGGAAATGAATTTCAGCGCGCCATGTTGAAGGACATCTCATTTCTCTAAATGCACACCGAGGACCGAGGATCGAGCGTCGAGGAGGCTCTCTGGAGGAGCTCTAACCGAGGATACACTGATGGGCCCTCCACGGTCCTCCACGGCTCCTTCGTGGATGCATTTCCGCTAACAGAGATGTTTCAAAGAGGCGTGACGCACGGCCGGACTTATCTCAGCCAATGACAGCTCTGCATGCATCCCCTGGATATTATTTTATTAACTGCTTTCATCGCGACGCGATGTTTACAGAGAGAACAGCTGTGAGGTCCGTGCAGAAAGCAGAGCAGTGTGTATAATATATATCACTCAGTATAACAGGCCTACTCTCTTTATTTGCTGTAGTTTAGTAGATATCTACAAACAAAGAGTCGATGTTTTTCTAAGACCATTTAGTGCTTCACATAATAAAATACACAACGGCTGTAGCCTGATTATGCTTTAGGAGCAGTAGGTGTGTGTGTGGTACAGTGTGTAGGTGTGTGTGTGGTACAGTGTGTAGGTGTGTGTGGTACAGTGTGTAGGTGTGTGTTGTACAGTGTGTAGGTGTGTGTGGTATAGAGTGTGTAGGTGTGTGTTGTACAGTGCGTAGATGCGGCGGACAGACGGGTCTCAGTTGGTTTGGTGTCCTCTGCTTATTTTTAATACTTGGCCCGTAATTTCAATTCCCCATTTCAGCGACCAGAGAGAGGGGGGGATATATCCAGTCTCTGATTGTGTTACGTTATTATGAGAGTGCTCTCATACTTTAAATTGTATATATTTATATAAATATATATGTGTGTGTGTGTGTGTGTGTCCGCATCTGTAGCCTGTTATTGTCTCATTATACCGCACGGTGAATGAATCAAAGTAAATATATAAGTGGTCATGAACACATCTGTCCATCAGACAGAGAGAGGGCTGCTGTGCCTCCTGTCATCATTAATGGACGTCTCTTTAAAATGACCGCTCAGAGGAGAGGAGTTCTCATTTCTCTAACCGCCTGCTGCTTCCCCTCCTCTCTCCTCGGTTCCCCTCCTCGGTCCTCCGCTCGCATCTCCTGTGTCTAGGAGGGGAAATTTAAGAATTGAGAAACCTCTATTGTCTGTCCTAGTCCACGAGTGTCTCTGCATCCAATATAATTGAACCGGGCGACGTCCGAGCCAGTATGACTCATGTGTTTCCGATTTCACTCATTTTATACTGTATATATAAAGACCCAGTGACCATGTACATGTATACATATTAATACAGTTAAGCCTTAACTGTATTAATTCGTTATCAATAATTCGTTATCAAAAGAATATAGTATTTCCCAGTGTGTCAGAGCACCAATGCACCCTGCTCTCTGCTTCCACCCAATAATAAACTAATTTGTATTCTTGTTTTGTCAAGTTTGTAAGATAGCCACCAATGTAAGAAATACATCTGTTTATATTATGCAGTGTTTCCCTCTCTCCCTGCTTTAACATGTCAACTCCCTGTGGCACTGATCAGGTGTGCAGGTTCATTCAGGTGAGGAGAGAGGAATGGGGAACACAGGGAGAGGGAATTATTTGCTGGGGGAATCTTTGGTTTGGTGTGAGCGGAGGGAGAGGAGGCCTGGCAGCTTGCTGGAGGGAACTGCTTAGATTCTAAGTGTTTAGCTCTAAGTAATATGTCAGGCTGCTAAAGGAACATTTAAACCGGAGCAGCAGCTAAAGTATCTCTTCTATTCCCTTCTGGACTGGTGAGTGCATTCCTTTTTGGATATTTGTCTTCTTTTTGCAAGGCCTTGCTCCACTTGGATTATACTTTTTCCTTTTTTGTTGAGTGACATTGGATTATTCAGCTGATGTAACCCTCCTGTCGTGTTCCTTTCTCCCCCTTACTTTGGTGTTCCTGGTCAAATTCCACTGGTCTGTTTAAATGCTCTTACATGAACACAAAACCAATGAACACCTTTTAAGCTGTGAACAATGTCTCAGACTACTGGGTCACACGAATAACTGCAGAGAAAATACAAACAATAGACACTGAAAATATATTCCTAGATTAGCATCTTTGATGAATTAGTTGTGTACTCGCTGATGGATGAACATAATGTAGGGTCACACCCATTCATTTCCTGTGGCGGACATATTTGACCGGGAACCCCATAGAGGTGTTACAGATGTTACTAAACCTCTCAAAATGCAATGAAAGTGGTGATCAGCAAATGTATATGTTCACATTGTTACTGTGGAGGATATCATGAAGCTATCACATGTAAAACACAATAGTAAAACGGTCAGATTTGACCCGAACACCACACGACTGGGCGGTTGAAAAGACTGCATTTGAAATTGGACATTATTGTTTGTTTGAAAGCGTTTGGTTAAATAAAGTCTTTGAGACGCACGTCAAAGTCTGGTTTGAGGGGGAAATGGGTTATTCAGAGGCAGATGTTTGATTAGTACATGTGTTTAACTTCTCTGGAGAAACAAAATGCAACAACGCAGTGTTCCCAGTCCCACAATGAAGACACTCACTGTTCCTTTTATGAAGCCAAATGTTTTTTTTATTTTTTATTATTGGCTCTTTCTGGCAACACATGAAAAAAGATCTTGGTTGTTAAGAGGGGAAAGCAAGAGTAAACCAGTCTTTGGCACTTTCTATTCTAAACAAACATGCTGCTCACAGAGAAATCATCGGTGCATTTTTTTTTTAAACAGAGTTTTTAAAACACATTTGACATTTTGACACTGACTCAAAATCACAATAAGCAAGTCACACATATTCCTGTTAAGGAAGGATGCACCCATCTTTTGGACATTTATACACAGGTATAAAATGATAGAAATGACCCATGCACATCTGGGGCGGGGGGATTGATCAGTGGGCACTTATTGGTGTTCCCAGTCAACGTGCGCTCCATGGGTGTGTTTCCGGTAGGTGGAGCGGGGGGCTTTGTGCTTGTGGTCCATGTCAGAGACACGTTGACTTCCTTCCTCTCTGATCCTCTCTAACTGCCAGGTTAATGAGCACTGTCTGTCCTGCCTCTCTTCCATGGAGCTAAGAAACCTTATTGTAGCTGGACTCAGGTCATCTCTGTCTATCGGAGTGTGATCTGTGAAGCATGGGAATAGAACCAACAAACCCATACATGGGTCCAGGAACGGAAGTCGGTATATTTGATATTCCAAAATCTCAACCAAAAAAAAGCAATTCTTAACCAATAAGGCAAAAACAGGTTATTATACACGAATCGGCACAAATATATCTTAAGTCGCTGTTTGTAAACTGCTCTGTGTGAGGTCCAGGCTGTGGCTGCAGGAAGCCTAACATGTTGCTGAGTCAGCGCACACCATGCGTAAGGCTTCATAATTCCATATGAGTAAGATATGAATTCTGTGGTGCTATAGAGCAGTGCTTCTCAAAGTGTGGTCCGCGGACCACTGGTGGTCCGTGAGTATATTGGTAAAATTTCACATTTGAAATAAATAAATACATTTAAGTTTTCCGCACTCTCGCGGGAATATCTCCGCAATGGAGCGAGCTTAAGTTTCAGTTTCGATTGCATGATATAGCCCAGATAAACACCTTCATCACACATGTGGCCACTTGTTTGTATCATTTTCAGGTGATTTGTAAAAAACGATGTGTTTTTGGATATTTGTGGAGTTAGGTGGTCCGCGAGTGTTTTTTTATTGGTTAAGTGGTCCTTGGTATGAAAAAGTTTGAGAAACACTGCTATAGAGCAGCCACCAAACACAGAAAGAACAACCATGTTGTTGATATCTTATTCCCACAATTCAATGTTGTTCACACGAGCTTACAACACACAACTTGTAAATATTTTGTTAGCATATGATCATTAATCATATGCAAGTTATCTAAATATATCTTTATATGTTGATCGCTCAAACTATCTTGTTCATCTTTTGGGCCAATGTTGGTTTCTTGTTTAGATAAATTAATATCTTGCTTTTGGACATAAATATTTGTTCACAAGAATAGTGGAGTCACAAAAATAAATACCTTGTTACTTTGTGCTTTCCCAAATGAATATCTTGGTCCTATGTCAAAACACATATTAGCTTCAGGACTGTGTAATGTGTTCTGATAAACACAGGACGTGAAGCAGGAAATGCCATCTGATCATACTCATTGCACCATATGCTGCTGGGTATCTTACATCACAGACAATGAAAGAAACACAATCCTTTTCAAAGAGCTCACGGTTAGGCGAGAATACAATAAGCAATTTCACTGTCATACTTTTTTCTTAGCGGGTGACCACACTGGTGCTACATAATAAATGAAGTGGTTATGGTTGTGATTTAAATATGAAGCACAGAAGACATCAATACGGTGTCAACAGAAACTTTTATCGTCATATTACTGATCAGAGTAGTGTCACTTCACTGTTTGGGATATTTCCCATTAAATAATGCTTATTTTGTGCCTTTAGGACACATCTTTTATATTTTAGAGTTCAGGGAACACACCATTGATTAAAACGTTATAAACATATAAACACAAGTGTTTGAGACTTAACATACGAAACTTGTCAACTTGCAATATTTCACAGTTTAAATGACATTTCTTATTTTTTCCTGTCCGAACATGTAGTTGATATTCCCTCAGAATGGAGTATAAAACATGATATGCATGGTTTTAGAGCACAGCTGGCTATACAGCACAAGGATTTCTAATGCTTCCACACATGTAACTCAACATGCTGCATATTCAAAACTTTTTGGAAATCAGCCAACACGCTGGACACATTTCAGGCAGAGGCTGTTCAAAAGTGACAGCTCGTGACATGTTTGAAATCACGGAGACGAGTTAAACTGTAAAAAAGGTCCCGGTGAGACGGCTGGCATGAAGAACTCTCACATGGAAGGATTATTTTCCTTTTCCTTAAAGCACAACAACTACATCATAACAATATTCAACTTAATAAAGTGCAAGCTTACAATATATGGTCATAACTGTCAACACAAGGGAATGTGAATGTTGATATTACAATACAAAAGAACAAAGTGTAGAAACGGCTCAATTTCCCAGACTAATGTAAAATGGAGAAAGTGCAGCAGTGTTCCTCTGCCTCTCTTCAAGTCCTTGGAACGTTGGAATGTAACATATTTAGAAAAGTGGCCGAAGAACCAACTGGCCTCTGACGTTTTGCTGCTCCTTAAGTTCAACTTCATATTTCATCACACATTTTATAGACTTACTAAATACTGAACAAACACATCTGTGCCAAAACATCGCCTTCCTCCAACCATGTCAATAAATATAGTACACACTGAAAAATAGCGTTCTGTTAACATTACAGAAAATTCATAAATCTTAATCCCAACCAGCGGACGTGGCTACTTCCTGCTGCGCTCAGTTAGCCTCACTCAATGACCTGTCGCTGTCACACAGAAACCCCCCACACACACTCTGCCTTCAGCTGGTCTCTACCTTGGTGTGGATCAGAATTCACACATGTGAAACTGTCCATCCAAATTAGAAGCCTGACAGTTTAGCTAGCAGACGGAGTAGTGCCGGAGAAAAATATGTTACACACCGACAGCTTTGAGCTATTCTAAGACCCATTACAGGCTAAAAAGGTGAAGTTTGAAAGGATAAGGCTTATTATCTATTAATCCCATAAAAGGCAGAAACCAAAGGAAGTTCCTGTTAACAGGAATCAGTGGTCTGTGTATCCAAAGCCTGAAACATCTTCCTTCTCTCCATGCTGACCGATACGCTCACCGGAGCACTACGGTATAATCCTCCTCTTAAAGTGGTCCTCAACAAACCCACTAGTTCCTAGTAGTACATTAGGAGTAATGGACTAAACACTACAAAGACCAGGTGTTTAAGAGATGTTATGAGATCTTACAAACACAAATGTAATTAAAGATTAGGGTCTTGATGGGCTTGAGGAACAGGTGGGGTAGGAGACCTTTTGAGAGAGGGGACTGATGAACTTGGACTTAGAAAAGGAACAGCCTTATCCTTTATGCTAAAGGGAAATGATTTGGAGTCATTAGATATCTGGTACCCAAACCAACGCTTTGGCCCTAGTAATGGCACTAAAGGCCAAGGCGTCATCCAGAAAGTATGATAGTAGTTTTTTTAATTCCTTGTCTTCATCTAAATCTTCTGATTTCTTAAGATTTGTTTCAGCAAATCAGCTATTTCCTGTAAATCTGGTCACTGCTTGAAATATCCTTCTAACTGTTACAGTACGGACAGAATCATGCTGACAGACCCTGCCAATCGCCGGGATGGCTTTTCTTTAGAAAAATGTATCTGGCAATTGTGGAGATTCTTCTGGTTTCCAATGACCACTGAAGTAAGGAAGCACAGCTCTGTAGGCTCTCCTATCCTCCTATGAGCTGAGTGTCAGAGTGACTGAATGTCTGACAGCTGACTACTGAAATGCTACGTTCTACTGCAGAACAAAACTCAAACAGAGAACACAGTAGGGGAACCAAAGGCTGCTCTGTCTCTGCTGGGGGGGGCACTCTGTCTGTCTGAGATTGTATGCTCAAACATTCTGGGATTTGATACTTCTTATATCAGTGCTCAATAAATATCTCTAGAGTGTGGCTGCTCAGGGAGAGAGGAATGAGTGATAGTACAGCTGCTGGGCCAGGTGAGAGTCCAGGGGAAGTGCACGGTCTGAACGCACAGCATCAGCAGAAGAACAAGTTCAAATGAATATTCAAATATTTTAGATGTACTGATAAATGTGCTGGACTATTTATATGTGCTTTGGTCTACTTTAAAATTGTTATCGTGAAAGAATCTATGTCGTAAATGTTTTGTGTGTTCCTGCCCAGGGACTGAAGATGGAAATTGGCTAAAAGCTCAATCTGACAAATCATCTCCTCTTTTTTTTGTGTGTATGTATGGTCCTTGATCAATTAAGACACCATAATTAAGAATAAGTAACAGTATCAGTGTGTGTAAGAAGATGTTTCCAGTGGTCCACTTCGGTCCTCAGTGATCTCAACACTTCCCACAGTACCACCATGGCGGCTGGCGGAGCGCTGCAGTGTCTCTGTATGATCCACTGCACTGACACAACTCAAACAGCGACTTTAATGAAATGCGTTATGTCAACAGATTTCACATAACTGTATTAGGTTAGTTGAAAGCAATAATATTAAGTTGAACCTAATATTTTCAATTAAATGTTATTGCAGTTAAATCTGTGACATAATACATTAGTTAAAGTCAACAGTTCATTTATTCAGTGTAGATACTGGCTTCACTTGTCCTAAAATAATGTCTGGTTGGAACTACAACAAGCACTCTGATGTGGGTGGGGCACATAGAAAATGCTATAACAGTATTAAAGTTAGCACGTTATGCTGATTGCTTTGTTACCCCCCCCCCCCCCTCAGCCGGGGCTCCTCTCTTATCACTACATTCCATTTTTGTGTTACCAGTTCCTGACAAAAATGGCAGCGTCTGTCAGCATGAGGCAGTGGATGCATGGGAGGTAAAGCGTCAGGAGAGTAGCCCGTCTGCAGGAGGAAGATGAGTTGGAGGCCTTCATCACTTAGCTCAGAGGTGTGTGTGTGTCATTAAGTAACAACAGAAAGGTGCATGTTGACTGAGAATAAATGATGGTGTGCATACCACTCTACCTTCCTTCATCTCATCTGCTATTCAACTAGATTGTCTTCATTTGTTGGCACTACTACAAAATGTACAGCCGCATGCAACACATGCACTGGCTCCATTTCCCTCCCAACCCCATGCCATTAAACCTACAACCCTTTGAAATGCTCAAAGGCGGAGGTCATTCTATGTGGAATAAAACAACTAAATGGAAAGCTCTCTTTGTCTTTTGGCATGCAGTCACAGCACAGTGATGTGGGAAAGCAATAACAACCCAGTTTCTATTAAAGGTGATAAATGGAATGCTAGTTAATGCAGAGAGAGAGTGTGATATCTTCACAATAAAGGGGAGCTCCAACACACAACAGAACCTCATGCACCCCGCCTGCTACATGTGAAGCTGTTCAACAGCTGTTTGGCAAATACCAGGAAAACACATTTTTGGTGAAATATTTTAAATTCCAACCTCTGTGCGATTAATCTGCTAACATTATTCTTGTTGTTCACATTTACAGATGCAGTGAAGGCTTTTGTTCTCTCTGCTCAGCCTATAGATAGATAAAGTCACACAGGCTGTCCCAACCTTCACTCTAATAAACATTCATAAATACTATAAGAAAAAGAAAAGACTGGCAACAATGATCTGATATTGTTAGAGGCTACAGATTGTTACTGTACACTTTGATGGGGAATGACGGGTAGAACAGCTTTTGCAGCCTCTCACTTGTTCATTCACACTGACGTCTTACGTGATGCTTTATGAGATGATTTGAGCCAAGCTTCCGAGACTCAAAATGGGAAATGTATAGTATATCATATTCTCTGGCTTTTCCATGTGAACATTAATGTTGCACTACATTTGCTCCCACAGTTAAATGCAAGACATTAGCGTGTTTATGCTAAAAAACATTACCTGTAAAAAAAGAAAAGAAGAAAAAACCGAGAGCAGTGAGGGGCGCTGGCAGTGAGTCTGTATGTACATGGTGCCATTCTGCCCGGTGACAAGATGTTAGTATGCTTCCAGTGAATCATCCCAAAATAAGCTCTGCACGTCCAGCATGGTGGCCAGCTCCAAAATGTGCTTCTGTAGGAGGCTGCTCTCCACTGTGTCCTGCTTCGGGAGCTCAGGGTAGGACTCCGGGAAACTCTGGGCCTCCTGCAAGCACACAGAAATAAACCTGTCTTAAACAGACACTGACAGAAGCTCTGCTGTCATTCTTAGCTGCTGGGAGTTCTACTGTGGACAGAGGTCTCTACTGAATTTCAAGGTACCAGAAATGTACTATTTGAAACATATCAGTGATATTCCACGATCAGTGGTGTAAAGTAATTAAGTAGATTATTTTCAAACCCTGTACTTAAGTACGATTCTAAGGGACTTAGTATTGGGTATACAGTAGGAGTATTTCAATGTTATGTTACTTTGTACTTCTACCCCACTTCAGTTCAGAGGTAAATGGTGTACTTTTACTCCACTACATGTATGTAATACCTTTAGTTACTTCACAGCAGTGTTGTAGTCAAGTCACCAATTCACGAGTCCAAGTCACTCTCGAGTCACCACTCTTCGAGTCCGAGTCCAAGTCCGAGTCACCAAGGGAGAGTCGAGTCCAAGTCCGAGTCACCCAAGGAGTATCCGAGTCGAGTCCGAGTCATCATTACCTGTGTTCGAGTCCGAGTCCAAGTCACCTAAGAAGAGTCCAAGTCCAGTCCGAGTCACAAGTCTTCATGTATTAACCTTCGTGGCTATACAGTGGGGCAAAAAAGTATTTAGTCAGCCACCAATTGTGCAAGTTCTCCCACTTAAAAAGATGAGAGAGGCCTGTAATTTTCATCCTAGGTATACTTCAACTATGAGAGACAAAATGGGGGGAAATAATCCAGGAAATCACATTGTAGGATTTTTAATGAATTAATTGGTAAATTCCTCTGTAAAATAAGTATTTGGTCACCTACAAACAAACAAGATTTCTGGCTCTCACAGACCTGTAACTTCTTCTTTAAGAGCCTCCTCTGTCCTCCACTCGTTAACTGTATTAATGGCACCTGTTTGAACTCGTTATCAGTATAAAAGACACCTGTCCACCGCCAGGGACTCAAATCCTGCAGTGCCAGACGTGTCCCCCTGCTTAAGCCAGTACATGTCCAGGCCCGTCTGAAGTTTGCTAGAGAGCATTTAGATGATCCAGAAGAGGATTGGGAGAATGTCATATGGTCAGATGAAACCAAAATAGAACTTTTTGGTAAAAACTCAACTAGACGTGTTTGGAGGAGAAAGAATGCTGAGTTGCATCCAAAGAACACCATACCTACTGTGAAACATGGGGGTGGAAACATCATGCTTTGGGGCTGTTTTTTCTGCAAAGGGACCAGGACGACTGGTCCGTGTAAAGGAAAGAATGAATGGGGCCATGTATCGTGAGATTTTGAGTGACAACCTCCTTCCATCAGCAAGGGCATTGAAGATGAAACGTGGCTGGGTCTTTCAGCATGACAATGATCCCAAACACACCGACCGGGCAATGAAGGAGTGGCTTCGTAAGAAGCATTTCAAGGTCCTGGAGTGGCCTAGCCAGTCTCCAGATCTCAACCCCATAGAAAATCTTTGGAGGGAGTTGAAAGTCCGTGTTGCCCAGCGACAGCCCCCAAAACATCACTGCTCTAGAGGAGATCTGCATGGAGGAATGGGCCAAAATACCAGCAACAGTGTGTGAAAACCTTGTGAAGACTTACAGAAAACGTTTGACCTCTGTCATTGCCAACAAAGGGTATATAACAAAGTATTGAGATGAACTTTTGTTATTGACCAAATACTTATTTTCCACCATCATTTGCAAATAAATTCTTTTAAAAATCCAAAATGTGATTTTCTGGATTCTTTCCCCCCATTCTGTCTCGCATAGTTGAGGTATACCTAGGATGAAAATTACAGGCCTCTCTCATCTTTTTAAGTGGGAGAACTTGCACAATTGGTGGCTGACTAAATACTTTTTTGCCCCACTGTATGTGTTGAAATGTAGCTGCTCCTCTACATTGCTTTTATCCTGTCATGTTATACTAATGTGTCTATTGAACTGCTGTGAAGCCAGTTTGGCTACAATTCTTGTAATAGGTGCTATACAAATATAAAGCTTATTACTAATGTAAGCATTGGGTTGAGAGGTCCTGTGTTGTGAGCATGCGCAGTCTGTCCTGGAGTGATGAAGGAGAGCGTGGTGTGACTCGACAATAATAAACGGAGGCGCTATCTGGGACGCTCCAAAAAGTACTAAGTTCCTGAGTTTTTGTTACACAGAAGTATCTTTGAAGCCTTAACACCTCGGACGTTACACTAATATTAATATTATTATATATAAATAAACTATATTTAAAATGAGTTACCTTTTAGAGAAGTGATTATATTTATATGCCAATATTTTCCTATGGTAAAGTTTTCGTTTTGCACTTTTATTTTGATAGTAATAAGATCGGGACTCTTATTTTGAAGGAACTTTTACGGTTAAATCGGTTTACTGATAAAGATTAAGCCCCAGAAAGCACATGGCTCCTTAACATGCAAAATGACGTCATTCTGCATGTTAAGTAGCCATGTGCTTTCGTGTTATCGGCTGAATCTGTATTTATTGATTAGATCACGTTACTCTGATGATAGTGTTCAAGACAGCCTATATGTCTGAACTCGATCCTTAGAGTAATGTGTTACGGAGCCTTCTCTTCAATATTGTTTCCACATAACGAGCATTTTGCGCTGCTCTTTTCCAATGTGGAAGCAGAATGTGTGAAAGCATCCAGCACGATGCGGGGTGTGTCTCTAGACATCTTTAGACTGGAACAGCGGGGCCCAGTACGTGAACTCGCCTCGCAGGTGCACACGCCAGGATAGAGGACATCAGACTCCAGAGAAAATAGCTCGAGTCCAAGTCGGAGCGTCAATGTACGAGTCGAGTCCTACGCGATAATTCACGAGTCCGAGTCCGAGTCCATGTCATCCTGCGCGAGAATTCACGAGTCCAAGTCTGAGTCAGCATACGCGATAATTCACGAGTCCAAGTCCGAGTCGCGTCAATCAGTGCGCGAGTCCGAGTCGAGTCACGAGTCCCGAAAATCGGCACTCGAGTCCGAGTCCAGGACTCGAGTACTCCATCTCTGCTTCACAGATGTGGATGAATGATGTGAAATCTAATCAAGTGTTAAATCAGACTTCAGTTCCACCTGGAGTACAGATGTAGCACTCTAGAACAGACTCCAGCCAACAGCTTCCTGCCAAAGACCCAACGGATCCCAGCGGCTGGGAATGTTAAGCCCTCCCACTATTTTCCAAGAGGGCGTTGCCAGATTTTCAATTTCAGGTTTTAACCATTAGATGGCACTTCATTCACAAATACAGAAAGACAAGTTTCATGGACTTTCAGTACTTCAGTTGTGTTTTGAAGAGCATTTGAACACATATTTGTTATGGTTTTCACAGATCAAATAAAGTATATCTAATCTTGTAATTCAATAATATATAGTCTTCATATATTAAATAATCATAATTATAATGTAAATGTTTACACTTCTTTATTTGTTATGCTCATACTTTTACCTTTACAATAGTTTGCTTTAATATGCAGTATATTTTTTGTATATTTTTGTGTTTGCTTCCTTCTGCTCCCTTTCGGACACATACTGTATGATTTATTATTATTATTAATATGAAGATATTAAGATAAGATGTTACTTTATTGATTGAACATTTGAGTTTAGAATGTGCTGTCCCACGGTAATTCAGAAGGCTCACAGGTCACATTCCGACCATTATTTAAAACAATAGGTGATTTCCCACCGTCTACAGTTTGATTTGTATAGAGGGAGCTCTGTGGCTGAATGGCCAGCGATTAGGTGTGGCGCATTTATCAGTGATCAGAGCTAACTGCCTGCCGTCAGATTTCATTTAAAAAACAGGTCTGATTTTAAGATCCTAAAATAAATACAAATAGCCTATATATTTTTTCTAATATTGTTGTGGTCACGTGACTTTGTTTAAAATCCAAGGGTGTAACTTTGGTTTGAGAAGTGGGGGGGGGGGGAGACACGAAACACAATTAAACATTTTTCCGATTTAATTCAAGTTCCTGCCTTATACAAAAATATATTAGGGACTATATGGTGTTAAGAAATCCAAGAAAAATGTGTAGTGTAGGGTTGGGAGGGTTACTTTGTAAATGTAATCAGTTACTGATTACTGAATACAGTAAAACCAAAACATACCCATCACAGATGGGTATGTTTTGGTGAACAGGAGACACAAAAAGCAAAAGGAAACTGAACGTGTTTTTACTGTTTTAATGGCTTATCAAGAGCACAACTGAAACATAGCATCTGAAACGATGTAACAACATAATACACTCTTTGGGGATGCAGCTTGGGATGTGAGGAGTGAGGGACACGGCTTAGAACGGGCGTGTCGCCTTCTGTCCTGCCAGTGTTGGCAGGACATGAATTAAAATGTCGAACTCGGACTTCATTTTAAGGACATTTCAGCCAGGGGTGCAGAGCTATATTTGTTTAAGCCTATTGTATGATAACTGTGTGATTACTATTTATTTTCAAATGCATATCTGCCACCCATTTACACCGCTCTTCCCGTCAAGAATTGGAATTTGAATAGAACTTAGCTTTAGTTTCTGGATCTCACGGAGAACACTGTCCCGCTTCATTGTAGGATTTCTGCCTTGTCTCCACTTTATAAATAAGTAATTAGATAGACTACCTTACCATTAGGCTACTGCGCTCATAAAGAATGATAAGAATAAGAATAATGCCGGCGTAATCAGATCACATGACCTGTTCAAGCCGGCGCCGCATAAAAACAACAGTCCGGACAAGTACTGGCTTGAAACTATATGCCAGTCTTTGTTTCATGCAGAAAGACCCAGTAAACACGGAGATACGATGATATAAAGTTAATACAAATATATTTCAAAAGTATGAAAAATGGAAGCACATATATTTTAATATCTTTGCCGTATTTGATCCTTTTACGTGATTAGTGAGTTTATTTAAGGTAATTAGGGAGAAGCCCTTTTTGATCAGTAACGAATTTAGCAGTTGAACATAAAAGTCAACTGAGTGTGACTTGCAATGACAGTGTTGTGTTTTTAGGGGGGGGGGGGGTGGGACACACACATTCCGATGGCCAATTAGTTTTAAACAAAGAGTTTGCAACATACATAGGCATAGGGGGTGGGGCTGGTGAACGGTAAGGTCAATGTTTTTAAAAACACTGTGAAATGTTGACTTTATTTGATCATTTCAGTTACAAACTAACGTTCATATTTCTCTTTTTGAGAAGAGCAATATGAATATGTTAGTGGCTGACCCAGCCCCATGGTCTGTCACAGTAGTGCGGGAAAGAGAAGTGCACTGTTTTGACTGGCTGGACCTGTATTGTACAGGAAAGGAGTGAGCAGAGGGCGGAGTTGTCGATTCTTGTTCTGTTTTCTGTGAACAATCCTCACCCTCTCAGACTTTCAGTTGCGCGCTACTAAAGAGACGCGCTACCATGGAAACCAAACAATGGTGTAGCTGTAAGATCAGGGGGGAGGGAGAGAGAGCTGTGGCTGATGGGCCATTAGGTGTGTAAACACACAGCTGAGAGCTGCCGTTTCATTCAGACTGTTTAAAAAACGGTGACAACGGACTATTTTTCTTAGCGGATGCATGTCAATTTAAATCAATACATAACCTACAACTATTTTTTAAATCAATAAAAACATTTTCTAAATCCATAAAAGCATTTAAATTAATATTGGGAGTCATGTCGTTACTTTGTTGAGAATGTAGCCTTGTAATAAGCGGGATAATGTGCAGCGACTTGTTCCTTATGGGGAAAATAACACCCTTCATCCAGATCAAGATCCCTCCGCTACGGGTCGGGACCCTGATCTGCCTGACGAGGCTCCATTAAAATATAAATATGTTTAGTGAATTACTGAGTTTAGGCACGTTAATAACGTTTTAATGAAGTTGAATACAGTATATTCATATGTGTCAGTGATTTCACGTCAATTCGGCGAACATAAACATAAATGATCGTGGTGAAGATGATGATTACATTAGAATTACAAATCGAGAGCATTTCCTCCCGTTCGTTTTTGGAGCCGGCGGGCTTCCTGATGTTTTTTGTACAGTAGTTGTGGACTAACCAACATTATTTTGTTAAATAAAAACATGGTGATGTTTTGTAAATGATTACATGTCTCTTATTTAGCAGAGAATATGATCCTATCCGTGACATATGGATCTTAACAAAGATCCGCTATACAGTAGTAGCCTACCAGACATAAATCTACCATACTGTATCAGAGTTTATTTCACATGAGCTCCAGTGTGGAACCCCACTGCACCCCCTGGTGGATCAATGATCCATTGCAGCTGGCTTCATTATAATTAAATGTATTTATCAAGGGGGCGGTCTCAAGTCACGCTGGAGGTTTTCCTTTGAGCGAGGGCAGACCCCGCCTCGCATTTCAAACTGTCTGAAATGAGGTGCTACATCTGTAAATCCACCAGCTACCCTGCTGTATACAAAGTCATTCAAACTAGCTGCACCTTTACCAGCTCTGAGAACACTTTCATGATCAATCATTATAAAACATATCATATATATTATTCTATTATTCTATCTGCACAATGACTACTTTTACTTTTGGTACTTTTACTTTGTTTTGATGCCAACACTTTTATACTTTTACTTGAGTAACATTTTGAATGCAGGACTTTTACTGTAACAGAGTATCCCTACACTCAGTACTTCTACTCAAAATATACCATGTTCTTTAACATACACTCCTTTATTATCGTTTATAAGTGAAAATACAATGTATTGTGTTTAATAATGTTTAAAACCAAACAAAGTTGCAATGAGGGTTCTCCAAATGCCATGATGCTCTGTGAGATGCACTTTGCTCTGAACAGTCTGACGAGTGCATCAGTGTGGGTTAAATGTATAGTGTGTTGGTATTTTTCCGAAGAGGGACAGCCTTTGGCATTCAAACAAACAATGAAACTTCCCGAGGAGATGCACAGCACAGAGACTCACCCGGAAGAGTTTATGCAGCCTCAGAGCAGCGGAGCAGAACACAAAGCGGATCAGGAGCAGCCGGAGGAACTCGTCACCAAAGAATTGCAAAAAGGCTTGATCTGTGGAGACAGTGAGAGATGTAGCTCAGTTAGTGCTCGGGCTAGTTATTGATACATGGATTAGTTGACAGAGGGATGAAAAAGTCAAAAGGGGAGAGAGCAATGGGAAATGAAGAGCAAACACAGTCCCTGGACCCGGGGACACGGCTGGTCAAGAATCGGGATCAGAATCGGTTTTATCACCAAGTAGGTTTACGCATACGAGGAATTTGATTTGGTGTAAATGGTGCATACAAAGACACAGAAAGAAGAACATGTTGGTTTTTGGAAGAAAGGAGCAAAATAATTGTACTAATATAGAAGCTATTTTAACTTTTTTAAAGACTATTGAAACAAAATAAAAATAAAGACAATATTGACACACAAAATAAATATGTAAGAAATGGAGTATTGTCATATAAAATAAAATATGACAAATACTATATTGCAAATACTATGTATTATATGTTCACTAACTCATGTTTCACTAGAAAAACAAGCTATTCAATTAAAACATTTTCCTGGTCGACTCTTTTATTTAATGTCAGTTAGTATGTCAAGAAAATGAATGAGAGATGTGCTACCTATAGTCCGTGATCGAGTTATCATTTGCCCGATGTCATGGTAGATTTTATGCAGAAATTCCTGCGCCCTCTCCCAGAGGCCGCGGTGCACACTGCTCAGGCCGCACACCGAGGAGAAGGCCAGCAGCGGGCTGTACAGGAACAGAGTGAACAGACTGCCCCGCTGACACTGATCTGAACAGGGCACACACATATGAAAACAGTACATCACACACATATTCTCTCTATCGTTCACACAGAAACTCAGCCGTGATTAAACGCCATATTATGTTCCAAACCACATCAAGCATTATTTCTGAAACAGTATGGAGCTCAAACACTTTCTTTCTCACAGGTTTACCACAAGTTGAGGGAGTACCTTTTATATCCGGCTTCTTTACACGTATACTCTCTCCAGTACAGCGTTAGCTCTGAGTGTTAGCGATGCTTGCTAATGTAAACACAGACCATATTACTTCAACACAGGTTGCGTATTGTTTCTGATACTGCACATAGCTTGACATGTTCTTTATTCAGTGTTTACCGCCAGAACAGAGCCATTGTTTGTATTATTTATATAACAACTTTACTTTAAGTCCTTCCCGTAGACATCCTGCTGAATACACAGACACACAGCTGAGGGAGGGGATTCAGCTAGCGTCTGTATACGGAGACGATAGGTTGGGACGTGGGCGGGACGTTGCCAGGAGTTCAACGTAAAGCCAGCCCACATTTGAGTAATGATGTCAAGTTCTCAGCAACTCTGCATCAGCTCCGTTGTACCCACGTTTTTAGAGATGTGGGTACGGAGGAAAAGAGAGAGGGTTGTATTTTCTGACACTTTGTGAGTCTCCTACACACCGGGGACACATCTTTATGTATAAAATACATCAAAAAGTGCATTTTGCATAATAGGCAACCTTTAAATGGTTTCTGTATTCTGTGGGATATAATTCTGTGTCAATGTGAAACATGGGTGTACCGTAATCGTACTATGGATGTAAAATTGGGGCAATAACAGTATAATATGGGTATAAAAAAGGTGTAATGTTGATGTTATACGAGTGCCATATGTCTAACGCTCGACTCCACTTCGAGCGTTAGAACGATTAACGAAGCACTTTTATACCAATAAAGGACTGGATTACCTAAAGCCAGTTGAGTAGCACTTGAAATGTTTGGCTCTATGAAACCTGATGTACTTATATGATTCTGTTTTCTTCAAGGTTGTGTCTTCCTGGTCGAATGTACTTATTGTAAGTCGCTTTGGATAAAAGCGTCAGCTAAATGCAATGTAATGTAATATGGGTGTAGTAATGGTGTAAAAAGAGTGTAATATGGGTGTAAAAACAAAGGTGTAAAGTGGGTGTAATAATAGTGCAATACTGGTGTACTAATTGTGTAATATATTGGTGTTAATGGTGTAATAACAGTATTATCGGTGCAAAATAGAATAAATATGGGTTAACAATATAAAAATGAATAAGAAAATAGCAATCAATTATTTTCCAAATTATTTATACGTGCTTGCCCATTTAAGTGAAAGCAATTACACATACAAGTCCACCTAACAATGTGAATACATCGTAAAAATAAGAGCACACTGCAAATGGAAAACCAAGGCGTATGTTAGCACATCAGGGCTGATTTCTTTATCAAGGTGTGTATTTCATTACAAGGATGTCAAACTGTCAGCTTTTTGTTAACTTATATCAAATGCCTGGTTTATATTGTGTATTTGTACCTTTGTCGACCACCATGAACACGCACACACTGTAGTTGTTTTCACTCAATCACCAAAGCAGGATTAATCAGTTGCTGAAAATAGTCTACATTTAACACATTTTCACCTGTCTAGATAAGGTTTGATAACTAAGTTATGTAACTGGGAGGCGTGTGGCTCAGTGGGTAGAGCCTTGGTGTTGGGGTCAGGGGGGCACAGGTTCAAACCCCAGTGCAGTCAGCATGTCGTTGTGTCCCTGAGACACTTCACCCCAAAGTGCTCCTGTGGGGATTGCCCACAGTATTGAGTATTTGAGTCGCTTTGGATAAAAGCATCTAACAGGTGACATGTCATGTCATGTAACTAACTAATGTATTTGTTTTTGTCTGGAATCTCGACCCTCTTGCTCATACTGTATAGACGCATTCCTGATTGGATGGTGAATCAGAAAAGCATTGCCTGGCTTGCATACTGCAACATGTGATCAGATGCATAAGGATATCCTGTGCATTGAATGCTTTATTTTGGATGTACTGAATGTTCTTCTGGCATACAAAGTAGAATGGTAATACAGGTACCCCCCCCCCTCACAGACACTGGTCTGTTCATGTGATTTGTTGACAGTAAGAGTATATCACATATATCATCAGCTCTATCATTTAGTGAAGTGTTGATGTAGAGTGACACACACCTTGCACACTCTTGGGATATACAGTAGGAGATAGTAGGCACACCAGAGGCTGGCCAAACAGATTAGTGAAATGCTATAAGGACAAACAAAAGACAACAAAGTCAGATTAATTATAAGAATATACATTTACGGTCAGATCATTCATTCATATACACAATAGGGTTTTTAATCCCCCAACCCAATAATATAAACATTCAGAGAATCATCAAATAATGTGATTATTCACATTATTTGGAGGCTTCGGTGGAAGTGAACAGGGAGTGCAATAATGCACATATTCAGTTGGTTAGCTGTGGGCTTCAACTTATCCCCGTGGTTTTCTTTGCCTACATTTGTTCATACTTGACAAATTGATACCATTGAAAGTATGCTCAATGATTTATAAGCAAATCCTGTTTGTAGGGTACACTTGGATGTAAAGACCACTTCACTGGATTACTCTGATACTGAAGAGAACTTAAACACATGATAAAGGTCAGGAGGTTTTATGGGGTACAGTAGATTATAAGTGCAAGTAGGTTATAAGATGATGATATCAATGGGAAATGATAAGTCACACTGAATCTAAACATGTGTCTCAGGTGAGTGAGAAAAGCTGTCGGAACATGTTTACGCACCTTGTAGGATTTGCTGTTTGTAGAATCCACAATTACAAAAAGTGGTTTCCGCGTGAAAGGGAATAAGTCTCCTGGATGAAGGCTGCAACATCACAACAGGTACATGTCAGGAAGCTTCTGCTGGCTACATATGGTTATATTATATCATTAACACTATTATTAACACAGAGTGTGGGCAGCACACATCTGACTGAAGCAGATCGGATTTAGACTTAGTCCCAACATCAAACACAATGTATTCTTGGGTTAGGTCTAAAGCAGCATTCTTCTCTTAACACATATTCAACTTTTCAGCTTTCTAAAATGTTTCTAAATCAACATCTTTAAAAATTAGAATAGATCTATAAAACAAATCAATAATCACCAGTGCATTTCTTTCTGGGCCTGATTCCTCTTCTGCACCGTCTCTCCGTTCACCACATCTCGATTTGTGTTTGTGAGAACTCCTCCAAAGTCATATGGTCCTGCAGGACACGTTGAATAAGACATGAAACACATGCTAAGACATAGCTTTCTACTCAGTGATGGCTTTTTAAAGACGTTGATGCATTCGAATGGGCGTCACAGTTATGCAGTTTAGAGGCAGTTTTATGAGAATAACCCTCCTGTTTTCTGGGCAGACTTTTGGGAGATAACATTCTGTGATTACAGGATTTAGCGCTACGATATCAGGAAAGTGTTTCAGACATGGAGAGAAAATGTTGATGATAGATGAACCGTTCTTACTGTAACTGTGAGCCTTCAGTTACAGTAAGCCAAAGTCAAAACAATCATTAACTATTTCTCCCCATATGAAGGGACATGCTGCACATCTGCATTTGTACAACATCCAATAGGATTGCCCTCTTTCTGCAATGACCCGTGATTGGTCAAATGCCCTGTTGAGTGTAAGCTTGTCTAAAGACTAAAAAGAGCAGAAAGATGTAGAATTGAAGCTTTCTCCCAGATCAATTGAGGTACAATATGACGAGAGGTAATTAAACCCCAGCTTTAAGGTACAACAATGTAACGTTTTGTAAACTTCTGTTAAACTACCTGACCATTAAGTGGTATCAAAGTCAATCAGGAGAACCAGCTTTGCTTTACATGACGGTCAGATCCAAGTACAGCTTCCTGACTTTATGTATGGAATACATGACATTATTGGCTTCATCATTTATTTTTGAAATCTCTTATCATCAGTGACTTCTTTTGCAATTGCAGTCTTTATTAAATAATAATTACAAGAGGGAGGAACGACCCCTCCTACATTTTTGCAGCAACTTTGCATTTTACATTATTAGAAAGTGAATTGTGTTTGTGTTTGATAAGGTCGGAAAGAGCAAAACATGAAACTAATATTTTCAGATGTAGCCTGTCTGCTATGGACGCAGCTAAGAGGCTGAATGCTGTGCCAAGAATAACACAACGCACCCATTCAGACAACCTTTGCCTGTTGAGTTGCCAATGTGAATGATATATCATTTAACATTATGTTTAAAATATACATTTGTATTTATACATTTCAGAACACATAAGTAAGATTATGAGTTGTGTTCATTTAGTTACCTTCATAATCTGAATGTCCGGTGGGGAACACTCCGGTCGCTGACAGGTAGACGAGCAGAGCGCTGTTGGCAGGCAATTCCTAAACATGAGGGCAAAGAGAGAAAAGATAATGTCGCTAAGTATACTTTAGATGGAAGGGCTAAATGTACTTTCACTGCTGACATGAAATTGTTATATTAAAATAAAAGAATAATGGGCAGGAGAAAATCTAACTAAATATTGTTACCAACTATGAGAATCTCCCCCCAGCTGAAAAAAAACGTTCAATAAAACTAAATAATAACCTGCATATATACCGTATCATGTGGTGAATATACGTGACAGATCGTGGCGATATTGTAAGTTTTAACACAGACCATTAACTTGAGTAGTATTTAACCCAGAAGGTTATGAAGAGCAAACACTGACCTTAAAAGAGGCAGACAGGAAGGTATAAAGCTGGCTGAACGTGGGCTTGTACAGCAGATACTTGTGAGGGTTTTCCCTTTTAGCTGGCTTCTCATTTGGTTCCTGTGGGAAAAGGTTTTCAAAAATTACTGTTCAAATTTCATTCCAACATTTCTGTATGCTCGGCAGGATAGTTAGTCTTCTGGAGGAAATGGCGTGTTCTTCACGTTTATAATCCGTAATCAGTCAGACACCATTGGCCACAGTTGATTATAAGTGGGGATGCTATATTATTTGATTTCAACCATTTTTCATCAACTTTGTTCTTTTGTAAATTAATGTATTTAATCTATTAATGTATTTGTTAGTTGTTGTTTTTTTGGGGGAGGAAGTGACATTTTAAAATGTAGTGTATTCAAACCCCCACTCATTCAGTAAAAATAGAATTATATAAAAGAGGAGAAAAAACATTGGCCAAAGTTATAAGGGAGGGATGTATCCTCAGAATGCAGATAGACATGGGGCTACAAAGGGAGTGTCCCAGGGCCACTCTGCTGAGGGGCCCTGGGACACACTGCTGAGGGGCCCTGGGTCACTCTGCTGAGGGGCCCTGGGTCACTCTGCTGAGGGGCCCTGGGACACACTGCTGAGGGGCCCTGGGACACACTGCTGAGGGGCCCTGGGACACTCTGCTGAGGGGCCCTGGGACACACTGCTGAGGGGCCCTGGGTCACTCTGCTGAGGGGCCCTGGGACACACTGCTGAGGGGCCCTGGGTCACTCTGCTGAGGGGCCCTGTGACACTCTGCTGAGGGGCCCTGGGACACACTGCTGAGGGGCCCTGGGTCACTCTGCTGAGGGGCCCTGTGACACTCTGCTGAGGGGCCCTGGGACACTCTGCTGAGGGGCCCTGGGTCACTCTGCTGAGGGGCCCTGGGACACACTGCTGAGGGGCCCTGGGACACACTGCTGAGGGGCCCTGGGTCACTCTGCTGAGGGGCCCTGTGACACTCTGCTGAGGGGCCCTGGGACACACTGCTGAGGGGCCCTGGGACACTCTGCTGAGGGGCCCTGGGACACTCTGCTGAGGGGCCCTGGGACACACTGCTGAGGGGCCCTGGGACACTCTGCTGAAGGGCCCTGGGACACACTGCTGAAGGGCCCTGAGGACACACTGCGTCCTTTATGAGACCTAACAAGAAGCTTCTTTGGTCGTGATATTCTGTTCGGAACACAACGTTTGGTTCTGTTTATTAAATACCTCAGCATACAGCTTTATTGTCTGGCAGGAAGTCAAACTTCACACACACTGATGTCATTGTTTGTGAACCAATCACAAAGAGGCTTTTGATAAAAAAGGCTTATCCATATATTCTGTGAGAATATAACAGAAAGTAAGACTCTTGAATGAATCTTTAGCTAATGGTTTTTCTCTTTATGTTGTTTAAACAATAATTCACCAGAAACACAGCCTCCCAAGAGCACTCTCTTCAGACCTGACACTCACCAGCGCTCCCTGTTTGGAGGTCTGTGTTGCCAGGTTTACAGGCTCCCTCTCCAAAGCTTGAAGCATGCGGAACATATCGATGGTTAACTCACTGAATTTCACCTGAAGAAATAAGGAAACAACACTGGCATTACCTTACAATACAGAGAACTGTGGAGAATTATATTTTAAGCATTGGGGTTTTACAGATGAAACAAAAGTTCAGGCTTAGAATCAGAGGATGAAACCCTCTTTAACTCTCACACATACATGCACAGTGCACACAGCACACAGTGACATTTGACCTCTGCATTTAACCCATCCTAGTACTAGGAGCAGTTTGTTTTAGTACACAGAGAGTAGTTTGTAAGTAGGAAAAAAAATGAAGAATTTCAAATGCGGTGTTGGTCCCAATGCTGTAAATCAGGGGACAAAAACACTGCATGTCAGGAGTCATATTAGCGGGCCTGGAAAATATGGGCTCAGAACAGTCTCATAATACACACATGCACACAGAAGGATTCACACTTGTATTTCCGGATCCACACTTGTGTTTTTCAATGCACACACAAATGTGTTCCGTTTCATATACATGTAAATAAAATCCAAATACAGAAAAAAGTTTTGTGTTTTTGATCCTCACATATTTGTTTTCCGTTTAAAACCTCTGCACCGGCAAACACAAACCGCTTTCTGTGCACGGATCGCTGTGCATTCGTGTGTGGGTTTTTTGAGACTCCCCTGACGGTCAGCCGATTCGTACTTGTAATTTTTTCTATCTATAGCCAATCAGATGTCTCCTCCATTCTAAGCCAATCACATGAGTGCGCCCCCATGAGGGTAGATTTCTTGCGTTCATGACGTAGCGCTTCATGTACGCATTTTGCAGCTGACAGGTCCATGGAGCCTGCCTGCAGGCGCTAATCTCAGGACATCTCCACTCTCAGTACAGCGCCACTTTCCGAACAGGAAATGCACGCAAATACGTAAGCCTTTATATTATTAAGGAACAGCGCCACTTTCCGAACCATTGATGAATGCTTGTGTACACAAAAACGGGAGGCAAAACCGTTTTAAATGTGTGTTTCCTGTGTGGCGAATACAGCTGCTTTATTTATGTCTGTATGAAGTTGTTGTGAGTGTGGAGGGAGCAGCTACAGGTTAGCTTAGCCTAATCGATCAGTGCACTACGAAGTCAGTGGGGGAGGCGCCCCGCCGGTCATTATCATTTATCGTAATATTTGCAGAATTATAAATATCTAAAAATATTTTATCATAATATTTTTAATTTCCGCACCTATACCAGTCATATTATTTCATCCAGTAGCCTAGTTAATCTTTCACCAAACCGTTGAAAATGGCTTTTATGATGTTCCGAGAGATTCGGCGGCTCATGGTCTCAGCCTCTCGTGCGCACGAGAAAGTTACCGGTGCGCCAAGTAGGAAGTGGAGCGTACAGGAGACAACCGTTTAATTGCAGACTGTTATGTTTATGTGGGGAAATGGCAGTGCATACATTATTTGAGACATATTTCAAACTCGGACTTCATTGTAAGGACATGTCGGCCAGGGGTGTAGAGCTATTTGTTTAAGCACCGGATTGTCAAAATAGGAGAGTAAACCAGTCTGCCTTGATCTATGAATTCATGTCCGGGACCTCACGGTATCTGCTGTTTTATAGAAGGAAAGCCTCCTTCACTTCATGAAATGGCTGCAGCATCAGGAGGCAGCGGGACGTGTAACTCCGCCTCTGAGAAGTGCAGCACCAGAGGGTAAAGCAGCCTGTCCTCCTACAAAAAACGACCATATAGGTCAATTGTTCAGCAGCTAAATACGACCCAGAGTCACGTTTTAAAGTGTAGCACCTCTAGTGGTCATGTAAGAAACAACATGCTCCTGTCGATTGCAAACGCTCCGGAGGGTCGTTTATTCACAAATAACCCTCTCTGGAAAATCCTAAATTGTGGAATAGTTTGGCCATTAAAATGCTTTTTTATTAGATTTCTAGCGAGAAGTGTATATTGTACTTTTATAATCTACGTCCAGTGGATGTGTAGGATCTACAGTTTGATAGATATACGAAGATGATTTGAGGTCTCGCCAGGAGAACGTGTACTGTATATGGGGCAGCTTCCATGTAAAGTTAGCATGGGTGAAAACAGTATTTCCGGTCTTGAAGTTTTCATAATAAAACCGGAAGTATTCCCCACACTGTCAAATGATTACATAGTGATATCTCCATTACTCATCCACTTAAAAACATCAGTTTATCCTTGTTAATTACACAATATTGATTGGTTTAAATTGTGTACAATGCTTTTGTGTTTTTAACCTTCGATTCGGAGAAACAAATTGTTTTTTCGGAGTTTAGACACTACAGAGTTTCCGAAGACACTACACTACCCAGAATCCCCAGCTATCGTTTGGGACTACAACATCCACCTTGCTTTACAAACCCCGTGATTAGTCCTCAAGCTCTGTGATTGGATGTTGGAGTGGCAGTGTGACAAGGTTACGCCGAATGTCAAACAGCTCTTTGAAATGGAATGGAATCACGCCAGACTATCCAAAACTGGACTTGGACGGGTCCAGCCCAGCCCTCCCCCCCCAGAATTACACATGCTGGCTATTGTGTGTTTCGCAACATGTTCTATGGCACGTCTCTACTGGGAATTGTAGTTTTAAAAGACGTTTTCGTATTTCCCACAATTAGAAGTTGTCAGTATTAAACTGTATACATCCCTGGAGGTTTAGGGGATACGAAACACATTGGTGTTATCACATTTAAAGCATATAATTAATACATGGGTGAAAATTGCTTGTGTCCATAAAGGGCAGCATTAATATACCCACATGCCAGCTAAGGTCAGAATAGCTTTATTTAACAGCTGGTCTTATGTCTGTGACCCCTCCTGTTGTTCATTGATAAGCCTGAAACATGCACTTGTCAAGGTTCAGATGCACATTTAGCAAATATGGCAGTAGCCATCAATCATCTTAAGATAAGATACTTTATTGATCCCAAGTTGGGAAATGTTTTTGTTATAGCAGCATGTACTACTTTGTTCTACTCCACTACAATTCAGAGGTCAACCTGGTATTTTTACTCTACTACATTTATTTTTGTTACTTTGCAGATTCTGATTAATGATGTGAAATATAAACAACCCTTAAATCAGACTTTAGTTACATCCGAGTAAAATTCAGCCTTATCGGTTTGTCTGTTTTGCACATCCTCCTGTTAATATCTTTGGACGTCCTGCACTAAACAGTTTTATTGTAGAGATCACTACAGTATCTTCTTGATATTTTCTATTCTATATTTCTATCATTGACCCCTATTTTGTATGTAGGCTACTCTTAATATTTAAATGTTTTCATCAAATATAACTTATTCAACAACTAAATTCAATAACGTGCTTTAACCACTAGGCGGTGCGGGTTAAAAAACCAGTGGTGTAGTTAAAACATAATAATATCAAACATAAGACTATTCACTTTATTGTGAAATTAAAACAGAACGGTAAAGGAAAATACAGTTTCAGTCTCTCGATGTGAAGCTTATGCATTGTACCATGAACCTGTAACAGTCAACTGCATGAGGAGTTGGAAAGGTAGTACAGAAAATCAGTAATATCTTTAAAAACTACAAAAAAGTCCCTTTATATCAGCTGTGCACTGTTATGGTGTAAATACAGACTATCTACTAATTGGATCAAATATAAAAGTCAGCCGAATTAGTGTTGATACTGCAAGGAGACGTATTGTGTGAAAATAAATGGAAGATGTTGTTTAATTGTTGATATATTTATGGTCCACGTCACGTATTCAGTTTTGGCGGCATCTCTTCCAGTTTGTCAAAAGGTCTTCTCATCAGGGCTCTATAAATAAATATCTACGGCAGATATGTAATATTTAATGCAGCCGAACCGTGTATTACAATGCCGTTATGTGATGACTTTCAAAGAGAAAAGCAAGAACACTCGGAATAAAGTATTATTTTATTTTTTTAAAAATGTTTTACGATTTCATATCACATAAACACCATATCCCGACGTGCATTGCGGCGTGATTTTAGCCTATCAAAACCTCTGAAAAAAGAAATGTGTCTCTCAGAATCGAAAGAGAAAAACCTATGGGAAAAACACAAAAGCATTGTACACAATTTAAACAAATTAATGTCGTATAATTAACTAGGATAAACTGATGTTTTTTAGTGGATGAGTACTGCAGATATCACTGTTAAATCATTTGATCATTGGTTTTATTATGAAAACGTCGAGACCGGAAATACTGTTTTCAACCCGTAACTTTACATGGAAGCTTGCCGCATATACACGTTCTCCTGACGAAACCTCAAATCATCTTCGTAATATCTATCAAACTATAGATCCTACATAACGACTGGACGTGGATTCTAAAAGTACAATATATACTTCTCGCTAGAAATCTAATCAAAAAGCGTTTTAATGGCCAAACTATCCTACAATTTAGGATTTTACAGAGAGGGTTATTTGTGAATAAACGACCCTCTGTAACATTTGCATTCAACGGGAGCATTGCTCGTAATAAGGGCTTGAACAATCGACCCATTTGGTCGTATGAGTTGGAGGACTTGTTGGGGTAAAGATGTGCCTTTTTACGCACCGCCTTCACTGTGTTTACCTTCATCAGAACAGCTTAAGAGTGACTGCAGGCTGCTACGTGTTAACCACACACACACACCTCTACACACATCTAACTGCCCGATTACTCCCCCTTTTATTAGTTGTATGAAGGAGATGTCCAGTCACCAAGACACATGATGTGTATGTGTGTGTGTGTGTGTGCTCTGCCCAGCTCTGTGTGTTTGTCCGACACCGGCATTTGACCATGCATTTGACTCCATAGGTAGCCTATATGCGGGTGTTCCCAAAATAAATTTGTTTAATCGTAATCTCGATGTACTAAATGCTATCGGAGTGCACCGGCACGAACGTCACTATACGAACGTCACTATATACACACACACACACACACACACACACACACACACACACACACACACACACACACACACACACACACACACCACACACACACACACACACACACACACACACACACACACACACACACACACA